TTTACATCAGACAGCTAAGAAAAACTTGACCTGGCTTGCTGAATATTTCTAGCCTTTTCTCAACTGGAAGCAATTATAATCTGTGATGTACTCAAAGAGGGTCACAGCCAAAGGATAGAAAATCACAATTTAATGACCTCAGATAAATGTGAGAGTTCAAAGATATTTTCAATTATAAGCAAATCGGACCTCAATGTTCAGCACAATCTGTTCTGTCGTAGCCCAAAGATATCCTTTATAAAAGGAATCCTATGTCAAATGTAAAAATCCATTTCAGAAATTCATGCAAAGTTTTTGAACTGGGTTGTGGGAGTATCTAAGCCCACATTCTTCAGCCATTAAGTCAGTGCAATCACCAGGTTTGTAATGTATACCTTAAAGAAAGGTGCCGAGGCGGAAGAGTCTCAGACAGTATCATAACTAGACCATAGAATAAAATTCACCACTCCATTTTATCTGAAGAGGATGGTGATATTCCATGTGTTGAGTTTTTGTCTCAAAACAAAATGCTTGTCAGTCTTTATTATCACTTTTTTTTCCTAACCAGATTCTTTTCAAGCCTAAATGGAATTGACATGTTTCCACATGTAGTTTTGTTGTGGTAGATCTAAACATTGCTGAGGGTGAAATAGAGACACGTGACTCACCTGCAGTCTGCCAGCATTCATCTCCAGCAGCAGGAAATCATTCTGCCCTGCAGCCAGGAAAAGCAGGCCGCTCAGGCTGGAGGTGCGGAAACGAATGTGCAGTGTGTTACGGCTAGACGTCTCTGTCCCTTTTAACTGCACAAATCCATCACCATAGAATGAAGCTGCACATAAGAGAATATCACCCATGATGCTTGTTTTTTTTGTCCTGAATGCTCATTCATTTCTTTGCCTTTTGTTAATGAATTTTTGTGAATTAAACGGTTTGTTAAGTATATAACGTTTTAATTACACTTTTTAACTGGCAATAAATTAATTGATTTATGAGAAAGGACATTATTATTATTCAAAGGGATTTATGCACTCTTATTCCAAACCAGCATGGTTTTCTTTTTTCTGTGAAACACATAGAAATTGTTTTGGTTTTAACAAAAACGGGGTCCAGCATTGTTGTGGACCACATTGACTTTCATTGTATGGACAAAAAAACATTTAAATGCTCTTCAGAATATCTTATTTTGTGTAAAGAAAGTACAGGTTTGTAATAACATGAGGGTGAGTAACTGATGACAATTTGATCATTTCTGTGTTAACTTACCCTTAAAAGTTACATTTTGATTTTGACACAGACATTAAATAAAAGTGACCGAATTAATAAAAACAACAACACTTTACAGGACAAGCCGGATGGCGCCAGGGAAGCACTGTGATACCCATGTACATGTGCTGGCATGCTCTGCCCTGACAGCACCCTGTTCTCAACATAAAAGACTCTGACATAGCCACATTGTCTTAGCCCTGCTGTCCATTGATGGAGGCCTGGACGCAGCTGTTTTCTGACCCAGCCACAGCACATCACCCTTTAATCTACACTAATGTGTTCTACACTCTCATCTACCTCTCTCTACAAGTGTCACTATAGTATTTACACCCCTTAATTTGTATGGGCACAGAACACTTCTACTTTAGGACTGAAATGACACACTGATGTTTAGTGTAATTTTGTCAAATTATGCAAGTTCCATTACATATTCCTGATGCTACAAACTGCATAAATAAAATTTTCTGTTTTAATGAATATTTATTCGTTTTTAAATCCTTTGTTTACAATGCTTAAGGCACCATGCAAATTTCAGTGAAGCAATGTGATTCACTGAACTTTACATAGCTGACACAAGTAGCCTTATAAAATTGTGGAAACACAATCGTGGACTATGGGATTACATTAAACTTTAATATGCAAGTAATGCAACAATGAATAATTATGTATCATACGTCCCCATACTGGTCTAACAAGAGGCAAAGGGGCAATATCAAAACCAAACATTTTATCAAAAGTACAACTGATCTGCAACAAATATAAATGATGTTTTGACGTCAAACTTTGTGGTCAAACCTGAAATGACAGTAAGAGAGGAGAAAATAAGAATGCCATGCTATCTTTAGTTTCTTTTATCACACAAAGAGGTCCTATATCTGACATCCTGGAGATTTTATAAGTCTGGACACTGTGCTCCAAAATAAGACCACGTCTGACATCTTGATAATTCAGTGGAGTCGCATATTGTGAAGCTCAACACTGAACAACTGCAACTGATGCAACAATAAAACACAATTTAGCACATTACACTAATATTCAAATATTCATGTAATTACAGGGATTTGCTGATAAAACATTTAACTCTTGAAATAATGCTGGATAGTTCTATGAATTTCTCCTGTTTTGCAAGTTTTTTTTTTTTTTTAAAACATTACCACTTGAATAAACATGCTGGCCAACAAAATTTCATAGTGCATGCTTTAATGTTGGTGAATCACTGCATTCCATTGTTATTAATAACTAAAAGGCTGCTTTCTGTGCCCTGACATTTGGCAAGCAGTGAATATGAAATCTCTGAGAGCCACAAATCTGTGCAATCATGAATGTTATATTATGTACACAATAAACTAATGTCACATCATTTTTTTATTTTTTTTATTTGGGGGGCACATGCAACACTGGCAATGAACATGATTTGGATATTGAAAAGCCAACTTTAAACATGTACATTTGTACATATTAACGTCAGCTAATGCACAAACCGCTAAAATGACAAGAACTTATATTTTAGTTACAGAGATAGCAACCATAAGAAACAGTTAGGCTGTTTGTCTATACTGTTCTCTAGTGCACAAAACCACATAGAAACGTGATGTTTGGTGAAACTCATAAATCGTCCACATGCTTTTGCTGAATCCCCCAATTTAAATGTTACACACACAAATGTCCTTCTTTACATGCTTTACATCAGCCATACTTGAGCAGTATGAACAACTTACCCCCTTGTGCGAGTCCGACAAAAAGCAAGAGTAGTCCGTTTAAAAGGGTCGTCGTCATTTTAACATTAAAGCAATGTGATCATTCGGCTTGAAATAAAGAAACAGTGTGTTTTAAATTCATTGTGTCACCAAATTCATGGCGGCTCGTTCAACTCCTCACTTTAAAATCTTTCCACAAACTTGTATGTTGTTCGAGCAGCAAGCGGAGAGAACTAGAGGAGAAACTCCGCCTCCTCAAGCTTTCGCTAGCCTCAGATATTTACCCCTCACCCCGACAAACAGCATAGGTTCACGTGTAAAACAGACCGTATGTTGTACTTGGAAAATTACATTAACTTTAGGATAAAATCATATGCATAAAATACAACGCAGGGGTTTCTATAGGGGAATATTATTATCTTATTATGTGAACTTCATATATCATTACAGCTTGACTGAAAGTGTGTGTGTGTGTGTGTGAGATTTTTTTTATAAAACTTGACTTCTAATACAATTTTAATGTAATTGAAAACGTACTAATTGGCATTTTTATAAATAACATTTCGTAGTTTTAGATTAACAACAAGGACTACATAAAATCTACACATTATGCATTTGAAAAATAGCACAAATTATAATTATGAAGGCAAGGCAGAGTGAAAAGTTCACGTTGGTTTATTATGGTAGAATGATATGTTGAATAATATCATAAAATTGCAAATAAGGATGAAACAATCTAAATGAATAAAATATAAGTGTGTTGATTGGATATCAGCAGGAAAATAATTTTAAATGACAAGCACTGAAACCAATGAAACACTTATCGCCGCTAGAACGGTTTGTTATGTTCTGAGGTAAATAATTGTAATAAGAGAACAACCGTTAATACTAGTAAACGCTAAAATACACTAATACAATCCATTCTATATATCCTCATTTTTAGATAAATGGGGACGTTTATCTAAACGGCATGTGTGTTTGAGTTGACATGCAAATTTATCCCGCCCAAGTGAGCCAACGAGCCAATAAGAAACACCGTTTGGCTGACGTCTGCGCATGCTAGTAGAAGTAGTCAGGAAGTTGATGCACTGAATGCATCCATCTGGACATACGGGACACTGGTATGTCATCTGCAGGTGATCCGCTCTGACACAATGCACTCTTTGCACAACTGATGTTCTGTTTTCAGTACAGAACATCACTTCTGTTTGTTTAACGATCCTTTAGTATGTTGCTAAATCCAAGATGCAATCATTATGTAACAGATGCGATGTCCACTTTATTTTGCCCTGCTTGCGTCTTTACGAATCTTTTTTACGTTTTGAGGAAAAATTTAATGGGAAAGTCTTGCTGTATACTGTGCATCTAACAAGAGCTAAGTTGTTAGAGACTTTACATTATGCACATTGTTGTGGTTCTCTTCGATATCAGTAACTCATGACATGCCTTTATGCATATTTAAAACGTGACTAATGTTTCCGGTGTATCAGAGAGAACAGAGCACTGTACAGTACAGGCATTCTCTTATCTGATTCTATGCATACATTATATGTTTGTACATGTTAAAATTTCTGTTCTCTTGCTACTCCAAGTATTAGAACTAAAAAACAGCTTAAAAATAATGTAAGTATTATGTTAAATAATGTCAGCATACGTGAATCATAAATGGTGTTTGGGATCAATAATGTTTATCTTTAAGAAATTAATACTTTTATTCTGCAAGTTCTTTTCAACTTTTTATTCTTAAAAGAATCCTAAAAATGTATTTAGGTTTCCACAAAAAAAGAATCAGAATGGTTTCTAAAGCATCACGTGACACTGAAGACTGGAATAATTGCTGCTGAAAATTCAGAAAAAAACAGTTGTTTTAAATTGTAATAATATTTGACAGTATTGCTGTTTTTAGCTGGCATAAAAAATATCATGTTAGTATCGTTTTAAAATAATGTCATACAACATAGAAGATTGTAATATTACACCCTACTATAATACCAATCCCCAGATCTTTTTGTTTTGTTTCTTTTTTTCTGTTTCAGGATTGCGTTGAAGTGCTATTTCTCTCTTCCGGTGGTGGCAGGGGCATTATTAGTGGTCCTTCCTTACAGTATCTCTCTAGTTGCCCAATGGCTCTATGGCTGGCCCAATAAACCAGGGTACCAAAAATATATAGAGGCTCTCAAACCAAGGTGACATAGCATAGCATTAACATTTTGATGTTACTCTATTTTTATAGTTGGCTTTTTAATGATGCAGATGTTTCTTGCACTCCCTGCAGGCGCATATACTGCCTTGCAAGAGCCGTGCTAGAGATGCTGAAATATCTGCAGTATGGCAAACTGTACTTTCAGTGGAAACTGTGGTACAGTAATGACAAAAATAACAAGCACTATGTGAAAGTTAGTTCAGTTTTTAAATTCCTGTTAATGTGGTTTACTTGCTATGCTATGCAGTACAGAGATACAGAGATAGAGTTTTTAAGAAACAAAGCTACTGTTCAATTTAGGACAATAATAATTCTTTGTATTACTAAAATGTATTGTAGCATTAAAATGAAAAAGCACTTGTCCCTTTTTATTATACTACAGCAGTGGTTTTCAAACCGGTCCTGCGAGCACCCCCAGCACTGCACATTTTCTGTGTCTCCCTCATCTATCACACCTGATTCAACTCATCAGCTCATTAGTAGAGACTGCAAGACCTGAAATGGGTGTGTCAGATATAGGGAGACATACAAAATGTGAGGTGCTAGGAGTGCTTGCAGGACTGGTTTGAAAACCACTGTACTACAGTATTTGATTGTGCTTCTGTCCTTTCTTAGGGCATAACCTTTGGTTGATGAGGGAACAAACTAGATTTATATTATTCACCAAGCATGGGCCATTCTGATACTGCTCCTGTACCGGTGGTTGTGTTTGTGTATGGAGGTGCCTGGGGATCAGGAGACCGCTCCATTTACTGTCTGTTAGCCTTACAAATAGCAAAAGAGCTTAATGCCTCTGTACTTTGTCCAGATTATTCCATATATCCAAAGGTAAGCCACCATTATATTATACATTATATATTTAATATTGATATTTTTTGTGTGGATTTCTTTTTTTTTTTTTCAAATTGTTTGTTGTGTTTTTAGGGAAATGTTTTAAATATGGTTCAAGACATCAGTGACAGTTTGCTGTGGGTGAGAGAAAAGGGACAAACATTCAGTCTTGATCAAGTAAGTTTCCAGTCCTCCATGAATGTAAACCAGGGCTGGCTAAACTCGGTCCTGGAGGGCCGGTGTCCTGCAGAGTTTAGCTCCAACCCTAATTAAACACACCTGAACCAGCTAATCAAGCTCTTACTAGGCATAGAAACTTCCAGTCAGGTGTGTTGAGGCAAGTTGGAGCTAAACTCTGCAGGACACTGGCCCTTCAGGACCGAGTTTGGACAGCCCTGATGTAAACTATAAGTTGTTAATATTGCATTACAAATGTCACTTTAGTTTGACAAGTGCTTGTACTATACACTACCATTCAAATGTTTGGGGTCAATAAGATTTTTTTCTGAAAGAAATGAATACTTCTATTCAGCAAGAATGCATTAAATTGATGGAAAAAATGTCACAGTGTTGTTAAAAATGTGTGTATATATATATATATATATATATATATATTTTTTTTAGATAAATGCTGCTCTTATATGATGTTCTCTTTCTCTCTATAACTACTGTATTTCAGTAGCAACCATTTTAAACTGATCATAATAAGAAAAGTTTCTTGAGCCCCAAATCAGCATATTAGAATAGCATGTTTTTGTAAGCATAAAACAGCATAAGAGACTTCTTTCAAAAACTTAAAAAAAAAAAAACGTTTGAACGGTAGTTTTTATTTTCCACGTGTTATTTTGTAAGTGATAAAACAATTTGATCTAGGCTACACTTTTTTTCATGCAGGACAACATAATATTAATAGGTCATTCAGCAGGGGCTCATCTGTGTGCCCTTTCCACACTGTTTCTGGTGAACAATGCAGAAGAGCTGTTCATTGAGACCAACATACAGAGAGATCTTGTATCTGCCATTAAAGGAATCATAGGTAAATCAAAGTGCCATGTTTATTATATGTGGCTATTATACTATGATTGTTTATAATTTAGCATTGCGGTTTCCCTGTTGATGTAACTGGTTCTTAGTAAAAACTTGATTTAGTAACTTGGTTTTCATTCATGTTGTGATTTATTATAATTTTTTTTGTAATAGGTTTGAGTGGCGTTTACAGTGTAATGGATCATTATAAGAATGAGAAAATGCGGGCCGTTGAATATGTATCAACTATGCACAAAGCTATGGATGGTGTGGAGAACTTTGATTATTATTCACCAACATCATTACTAGTGTTGTCACGGTACCAAAATTTCAGTATTCGGTACCGATACCAGTGAAAATCCACGGTTCTCGGTACCAATTTCGGTACCAAAGCAAAACACAAAAACATGCTAATTGAACAATTTTATTAATAACGTTAAACAAAAATTAAATGTACAAAACCAATGCCATTCTTTATACTTATTTAAAATTGTTTCAAGTTTTCCACAAGTAATAAAAGTATGAAAAAAGTAAACAAGTTTCACCCAAAAGTTTAGTCATAGTTCTGCTGCCACTGAAAAACATCTGTAAACTGTTGTCTGTTTTAGTGTTTGCTGGTGTGTTTCAGGATCTTCCTCAGTCTGCAGCTGTAAAAGAACAATATAATATACTTCAGTAAAGCAATGTGGTACCGAAATACCGGGTCTTTTGACAACACTAATCATTACTCAAGAAATTGAATGAGGATCAGTTGAAACGGTATTGTTATTTTTATTCACATATTGTCAGTGTCCAACAGCTGAAGCAGCAACACATTAACTTGTATTATTTGTTTCATTATAGTAAATTGTTTAAATAAGATGTTACTGTTATATAAGGTCAATATTTACATCTGTGTGCTACTGTAGTGCCATTACTGGCCAACTTGTTAAATTACAAATGCAGTTTACCAAGTAAAGGTCACTAGTGGAGTACAGAGAGATACAGAATACAGTGAGGCTGTTGAAAGAAGCTCTTTGTGCTTTATCATTTGCTATGGTTTTCATGCAGAGTTCCTCCAGTGGCTTTGCTCCATGGAACCAATGACATCATAGTTCCGGTGGAATCATCAGTGAAGTTCTCTGAGCTCCTCACAGCCCTTTCTATCAGGATGTCTCTCGATCTAATACCTAAAATGAACCACACAGAGATGGTCACTGACCTTATGGCTCCAGACAGGCACTTTTACCATACAGTTTATGGCTGTATTAAACAGGAGTACAGTAAATTTCAAGGTTATGCTGATTAATAATTTTCATTCAATTAATTACTAATATCATTTTCCATTATGCCAGTCACTCATTATGTTATTTATGTATTTACTGTAAGTTTACATTCAAGTTCTAATGATTTCTTCTGAAATGTTTAATTTTCAATCTAAAATGTGTTCAATAACCCATTATATAAGATGGAAAGATGAAAGAAAACAATCTCTGTGCTTGTTATCTGTTAATAAATTCTGTTAATGTTTAATTACATGTAAAAAAAGAAGAGATTGTTCCAACTAAGACAAATAATAAATAAATATAAATATACTACAACATATTTTTGTGTTTGAAATGTAATATGGATGGAGAAATACTTACTTTGCATTTTTATAACTTGTGTAAATGTTTCCTTAATATATTTATTTAAATGATACATAATTGTTTCTTTTTGTGTCCTAATTACTTAATTATTTGTTTGTTACATATTCACAGTTGATACCATATTAAATAACATAAGCTTCAGCTGTGCATGCTATAGAAATATTATTGATTTATGTCTGCTTTTGTCTTTATTAGAATAAAATGTTGCTACCAAGAACACAATAATGTTCATATTTGGGTGCTGAGACTGAACCATTGAATATTCACCTCATAAGTAAACCGCTCCTTTATGTGGGGGCATACGCTTAAAACATTTATCTTAGGAGTATAATTCAGTTAACTGGACAAAACTAGCACACAGAGCACGGGTATATGATCTATGATAATCGGGAAACATTAAATATGCATACATGTATAATAATTCAATACATTTATATATTGATTGCACTGGAACTGTAACATCAGCATCAGCGTCATGTAAAATTGACATTCCTTCCTTCTTTTACTGCTGTGGCAGTCAAGTACATTAAACACATACTATAAATACCGCCAGACTGACTTGATTATTATTACCTTGCTTGCTGACCAGAGGCAAAAAACGAAACGTGCGCCTGCATCATTATGACCAGCAGGTGTCGCTGTTTCCCGTGTAATCCAAGCTCTACAGCGAGCCCTGTGAGGCAGCGTCTCCCACACCGCTGAGATGAAGTGGAGCTGGAGCTGGGACGAGCTCGAGCCTGTGTTGTTTGGGATGTCGAGGATTAAATATGGCCACTAGCTAGCTGATCTAACAGAACCAGTATCCACTTCAGAAAGCACTGGCATCACCCTTGAAATATGGATGGGAAGAGCGCAAGAGGATCTCTTTAGAGCGGCTCTCTGAAGCTTGAAGACATCGGCTGGTCTGGTGAGTTCTCATGGATATGCGGATACACTGGAGACATACACGCAAAACACATACACAGTGCCCACTGGCGCTAGCTTCCCTCCTTCAAAATACAGCTTCCTTTACCCGTTTTTACATCTTTCTAGAAGTGTCAGGATGTTATTCGCATTATATAAATTATATTATATGCAGTCCAGCTTTGTGAAAATGAAACGCACAGTTCGGCATGTATCGGTTGTGTGTAGCCGGGGCTAGTTGTGGCTCGCTAGGAGGACTCCGCTAGCCTGTTAGCTGCAGGCGAATAATCATTCATGCGGAGACAATTCACAAATACGATCCTTTATTATTATAGACCTCGAGTTAATCATATGCGTGATTATTATGACTTATTTTGAGGTTATTTAGGCGATGTCTGGTGAGCTGTAATTGTCTTGAAAGCTCGCACTGTCACTGAAAATATCGACTGTATATCTACGACTGTAAATTACTGAATTTATTTGTGGTTCCTGTCAGTTTACAAGAATCCCAACATAATATAATAAATATATTATAATATAATATAATATATCATAACAATATAATTCTGAATAACCTGTTTTATGTTACTGAACTCCTCGCTTCAGTCGTCATTTCCATTTCCTGTACTTAGTTTACATGGTCATTACTTATATTCTAATTTATGGTTTTTGTATTTTATAAATTGCGTATATTGTGTATAACGTAGGTTTCTTACCTTTCTGTGTTTATTATATGTGAAAAACTACTGTACAGTGTTGACTGTCTGGCTGCTAATTTACACAAATTTCTCACACTGGATCAATTGCTTGTTTGTCTGTCACAAGGCAGACGTTTCATTGAAGTGTAACTGTAATCAATAGGATATTACTGAAATTATGAATATTATTTCTGTCTGTTTCTCTGTCTATTTATCCATCTATCTATCTATGACTAGACATACAGTGAATAACATTAGACATGGACACTCATTAAGGCTGCAACTAATTCCAATAATGTCATAAGTTGTGATATGAAGGCCGTGGTGATTTATTGGGACACAGTGTGATGGTGAAGTGCTGGGCAGCTGCGTCAGGTGAGAGGTCATGGACTCATGAACAGCGGTGTGTGGCCTTGACACCTCCAGGGTGCTAATTTATATGCCATTTAATTTGTGTGTTTTGGTGAGGGTATGCAGAGCTGTGAATAAGATTAGAGATGGGCTGTGATTGTGGTTTTATCGTATAAACAACCCATCCGTTTGCATTGTGCAAGTCATTGAACCTGTGCTTTTATCCCAGAGCCATCATAATATTGGCTTGTGGCCATATCAGTCACACATGACCTAAATTGCACCTGTTTAGAGGCTATAATCCTGTTTTTAATGTAATCTTTCCTATTAAATCTTGTTTGACATATTTGTTGTCGGTCAAGCTCTTTCGCAAACCTGTGATTTTTTTTTTCTTTATGTGTGTCACAGTTCTGTTCATGTGTTCATTTTAGTTTTAAAACTTAGCCTAGATCATTAAGGAAGTATGTAGAAAATGTGGCTGCTGAAGTGTATGTGAAATTATGAGGGTGTATTGCTTGATATTGTCTCGTGCAGTGGACTTCACAGGGTATTTGACCATCTTAAGTCAGATTAGCAGTGAGCAATAATGTTCAGTTTGGCATAGGAAGCAAGTGTACACCGATATATCACTTTACAGGAAGTGGAGAGGGAAATTTATGCACCACATACTCTATGGCTCTATTGGCTAAAATAAACAGTGAAAAGATGTTGATGCTCTGGAATTTTTATTCAACTTGATTAACCTCATGTGCAGTTTCTGTGCAGTTGTTTTCAGGTATAAAACACATTTGATACAACAGTTACAATGCTGTTAGTATGATCATGGGTCTCAAAACAAAAAGAACCATTTAGGCTGTGTCCACATTAATCCAAATAAAATTGAAAACACATGTTTTTCAATACATTTAGGCCTTTTGCCCACACTACAGTGTTTTTGTCAAAAATAAATAAAATTAAATTGAAAACACAGTTTTCATGTTGTAGTTAATGGAGGCATTTGAAAAAGTTGACACGTTTAGTCATGTAATGTTGTATGGTATAATAATGTTTAGTCATGTAATGTACATTGTACCGTGCCTGCTATTCACTTGAATAATATTACGAAGGACAAATGTTACTTTCTGTACAATCTTCATATGACATTTCTGCAAATATGACAGAATATACACTAGCAATTGCTGTCCTGCAGCAAAAGAGGATGCCAAATGTGTTTTAGACCAAACGTGAAATGTTTATGTGAGTGTTTTGAATTTGCAAATGTGGACATAGCCTTGTTTTCATATTAAACATGGCAAAAAGCATTTATTACAAAATGTAGAGCTCTCCAGTATGACTAATCAGATTCATTTGAATATTTAATAAGCTATTTTTTATAGCAGTACACTGGAATCTATTCACTACTTTACATTTCTGTATGTGCATACTAAAACATTGTGGGAAGTGTTTTTTGTCATGTGCTCCGTGTGGAATGAGCGGTGAATCAGCACACAGCATAGGTTACACATTACATGTGTGATATTTTACACAATAAAGACTTCAAGCTAGTGTTGCCTAAATGACGTTGGTGGAAACTTGACTCACCATTGTATGCAAAGAATTTAGCCGAAGTATTTTCTCTCATGATTCAGTGCCAGTGAAAACAAGTCACCTGGTCAAGCATCAACTGTGCTTTTTGAGGAAAGATTATCTTAATTGAAGACATCATGAGCTGGTTTTGATCTTTATTTCTTTATACTGTTACTCAGTGCTTTGCTGCAATCAGATTTTCTCTGTTTGTGGTATTATTGTTTTATCTATTTGAAAATAGCCTCGATTTGAATCTACGGCGGTGTCTCGTGTTTGTACTGGATTGTAGATGTTGGATAGTCTGTTTGTGTTATTTCAGTACACAGTGTGTATATCCTCCGAATCAGATAACTGACTTCCCCTTTTCAAGATATCCAGAGCTCTCTCCTATGTGGACTAGAGAGATTTATAACCCTGATCGATTTTTTTTTTTTTTACAGTGTGATCCTTTCATAACCGCCATCTGCTCTTTAAATGTTATCGGCGGATCCCCCTGTACTGCCGATTTGGTATCTCCTGGTATGACACTGGTCACCCCCGCATGATAAAGCCACGTGGTAGAGCTGGTGACAGGGAGGATCAGCTGTGCCAGTCACTGCAGGCTGCTTGGCTCTCTGGTGCACAGGTCTCCTGGCAGTGCCAGCGAAGAGCATTAAACGGCGCTCGCTCCCACAGCGTCCTATAAATGCTCTGCCTTCTCTCTTTTTCCTAGTCGGCAAGGCACAGATTACCAACGATTATTTTCTCACCAATCTTTGGATCGAAATTGCGTCGGGTAACAACAAGGGATGCTCGCAGAGCACAGGGAGAACAGCAGGTATGGAAAAAAAAAAAACATGTTTGATCAGCGTGTCTCCATAGTGACAAGGCGTTTGTTTACAGTTTGGAGCCTTGTGTCATGGATTTATTTGCTGCAATGATGGTCTTGAAATTGCTTCTTACTTTCTGCTGAGGATCCTGGCAGCACTTCGCTTAGAGAATCACACATTTTTGGAATCCATGTGATATTCGTGTATGCGCTGTCATAGTTTTTTATGTAATTAAAGGCTGTGGAAGGTAAAACAGATGAGTAGGCAAATAGCAGATGGTGAAATGATGGTGCCGTTCTTCCCGGAGGAACGATAATGTGGAGCAACAAGAGGTTGCTGTGAGTTTCAGATGTAAGAAAGGGTTATTTCTCTCTTTTTTGTTTGAAGTAATAAGCATCTTACATCAGGCATTGT